CCTACAATTTCAAAAAATATAACAAGTTACCAATTATTTTTACAAGTACACAAATTCACCAAATAACAGAACTTTGCAACTAAGTAACTACCTTAAAGTATGGATAATACCGAGGGTTATTTAAAATATGTTCTGGTATAGTTTCGTTGTAGTTAGCATTTGGTTGATGATGTCCTTACTTAGGTTAACCACAACATCCAAGACTTTATGAAAATGCCTATGGATTGTTTCTCCAGAATGATTAAAGAAATCTTGAACTAACCGATTTCCACATCCATGCGCTAAGTACAACAAGAAAATACCAAGGGACTCTTCAATAGATACACGACGTGATTTCTTTAACCCATAATGTGCAACAAGATCCCTACATAACATGTTGAAAACCGGGACTTCTAATCTGAAAAGTTGATAACATCGGCTCTCGTGATCGTTAAGTATTTCATTAATAAGCATGCTTCCTGTACGCGTAGATGAACGGCGACGTTTGCGCACGTTTTTTGATTTCTGAGTCAATAGTAACCCTTTGACAGCAAGCTCACATAAAAGAAGTGTTTGAATCTCTTCATTTTCTTCAATTTCATCACTCTCATATGAGTTGTCACTTTCACAGTCACTGCCCATGAATATAACCTATTACTAACGAAAAGGATACAAGGGTAACATTGAAATTCACCACATACTAGATAAAATCATAGCAACATCATTGAAAAGAAAACAAGAGGAAAATCATGGGGCAAGGGCAAAATTGACCACAAAACAAACATCAAATGACATTGCATAAAACACACACAAAACAACCGTTTAAATTTAACATAATAGTTGAAAGAATAGGTCTGACACATGACAACCATTTAAAGTCTACCTAATAGATACAATCATAGAAAAAGGAAACAAAACATAATCATCTGGCAAGGGAAAAATTGACCAAAAAATTAGAGAATGTCTAACACATGAAATAAAAGGATAAGTCTAACACTGCTTCTCTTTCTCTATAAGCCTCTTGAGAAACTCCATCTTTGTTTCATTACTCTTTGGAACCATAAAAGTTTGACGAGTTGGTTTCTTTAAAAAGACCTCTAACGCTTCTAAATATTCTATTGAGCCTTCTTCAAAACTTGGGAAAGTGGAGACAATTTCCATGCATTCTTCTGTTGTGGGTGACTGTGTGGTTTGTCTTGAGGGTTGAGTGCTCCTTGTTAACAAAACATCAAAAACAGTGGAGTTTCTGTTCATATGACGAGTTTGTCATACTCTTTCCTTCACTTTTTTCTTCATTTTTTCGTTCATTTTTTCCTTCAAATTTTCTTTTCTTGTTACGCCTGGGAGTTAACTTTTTTCCCCTCCTATTCATACTAGAACTATCCATTGTGAAAAAAGGAACACCATCATCAAATAAGAGGAATTCATCATTATCCTTTTTGCCATCCATAATATCCACAAGATGTACATTATTCGGAGTGCTATTGTCGCCAAATTCGCAAGGTACCTTAGCCTTGTCTCCAATAGCTACAGTATCCCGAAATAAAGCCTCATAATATGTCTGATATACATCCAAATTCTTATCCTTAAACTTAGCAAACTCTTTATCTTCCTATATGTACAAATTTAGAATGTCATGAAAAACACAATACTAATAATATATAGTTAGATAAAAATTTTAATTATTACCTTTATTTTATTATCACACCATTCCTTTGATGCTGGGATTGTATTTTTCACGGGATCAACTGAAATTCCCGTTTCTAGTATTGTTAAACGGTCGTAATATTTGAACTCTTTCCACATTATGTCTCATTTGTTTTTCATTTGATTTCTATCCAATTCTTTACCCGTTCGTTCCAAAAGCCTCTTACAGGGGCAATTTCTGGAACAAAAAACACACACACACACAAACACAATGGTGAACAAAAAAAACAAGAATAATCACAGGGGCAGTTTCTGGAACAAAAAAAAAAAACACACAAACACAATTGTGAACAACATCCTTAAAAAACAAAAGGGAATATAATCACAGGGGCATGGTGCATCACCGATTAAAAAAAAAGAAAAAAAACAATCATGTTGCATCACTGATCAAAAAAAAAAAAAAAAAAAAAATAAAACAATCATGTTGCATCAAGAATGAAGAACAATCAATGGTTGCAGGGAAATATAGCAGGGAACAAAAACACATTCGTGAACAGGTCACCGATCAAAAAAAAAGGCATACCTCATTGCAGGGAACGATAGCAGCAGAGAAAAAAAAGGGAAGATCAAGAACATACCTAATTGTCGATGGCTTCCAGGGATGATGGCCAAGGGAGAAAAGGAATAGCGATCGGCAGCAACAATAGGTGAAGCAAACGATCGGATTTGAAGGGTTTATGGGTTTTATGTATAGTTTATTGAAGGGTAATTCGGTAATTTCTGAATCATTCAAAATAAGCAATAAGCAATAAGCATTGCTCTCATAGCTTACTAAAATCAGCCTATTTTGCTTATTCCAACTACAATAAGTTGATTTTTTAAGCATCCTATCTAAACACTTAAATTAACTTATTATGGTGAGAATAAGCAATAAGCTAATAAGTAGTCATTTTTTCCCTATCCAAACACCCCCTAAGAAAGCATTTCAAACCATTAATTTAGTAGCCCGCATTTAGTTATTTATACTAATTAATTAATTTACTTTAAGGGAAATATAGTCACAACAAATAACTATTTTAGTTTGTAGGCTACATAATATCTCTAAGATATGGTATGAGATATATCATTAATAGGACGAAACATGATCCAATGTTAGCTCGATCTCAAAAGTTATGTCATTGGTTGATACACCTTTGAGGCAGACTTGTTTCAAAAATGCAACTAATAGTCGAACTATCATATTGAAGCCTATTCATCGAGTGTGGTACACTAGCTACTACGTACAATTATCAATGAATGTTCGACATTTTTCCCTTTAAAAGCACAATTTATAGTTTAAGTTTTAAAGGTCCCAAGCACAATTTCAATACTATTTAAAATCAGGTGTAGTTAGTAACTTCAATAGAAGTCTCCTATAATTAACCCGCAAACTCGTCTCGATGATAGGTGGAACTTCGATTTTTCATTTATAAAATTCTTATATTATATTTAGTTGATGGTTAAATAATTTTTTTTTTTTTGGAAAGGGAACTTCCCTAACGAGGGTTTTCGGGCCAGCTTTCGCGCACCGACTAATTCCCCGCTGCAAACATAAAGCTTTGCCTCATGCCCTGGAGTCACTGCAGGCGAACCTCCATGGCCACAAGGGCTGAGTGGTGTGAGGATTTGAACATGGATGAATAGGTTATCCACCATATCTTCCACATGCCTTACCAAGTCACCACAACCCAAGTGGTTAGATAATTTTATTAAGTAAAACGGGTCATTCATTGTAATGTTACTCAATAGAGTCCAACGGGTCATACATTGTAATGTTATGACTCCAAGATCTATAGATGTTGTGTTTAAAAGATGGTTAAATAATTTTATTAAGTAAAACGGGTCATGCATTGTAATGTTACTCAATAGAGTCCAACGGGTCATGGATGGTAATTTTATCACTCCAAGATCTATAGATATATTTAAAAAAATTAGTTTTGCCATCCAAAAAAGGGTTACAGTACAGCTTGTTGCTGGTTTACCCGCTGCGTCTATGTAAGTTTCAAGTAAAAACATTACAATGAAGATGCTAATGCTTAGAAGGGGAACTCAGTGTAACTGGCTTTATATGGAAAAAGGGGGGCTGATATTTCCACGGCTCGTTTTTATTCATCCACAGATTTTAAAAGCAAATTGACAATGATGCCCTTATCTACATTTAGAGTGTAATTATGGTCTATATTAATACAATATATCATTTTTAATTCTTTTGTAATAAATAAAATATTCAATTGGTGATCCATCCCCTTTATCTGATCTCCTCGTCTCCATCTGATAGCCTTTCCCTCCCATTTCATCTTCACCCACACCGGAGACCTGCAACCAAGGTGCATCTTCTCGCTCCTTGCCTCCCTCGTCGTCTGTGGTCCTCGAAAATCTTGTCTTCGTCCAATAAAAAAAATACAAGTATCGATTTTGAAACATTTAAACCCCATGGACCACCAAATCATATTTTGAAAGGTGGTTGTCGATTTTGCGGGCGGCGGCAGAGGGAGCGGTTTCCGGCGAGGGTGTGGGTGTTGGTCGAAGGTTTGGGTGACTTAGGCGTACGAAAAATGAAGGGGAAGGCATCGGGGTGAGGGGGAAGAATAGCAATGATAAGGCTAGTGAGTTAATTTATTTTTTATTTATTACAGAAGGATTAACCAAGATATTAAATACTAACATCTACCATAATTACACTCAAATACTAATAAAGGGTGTGTTCGTCAATTTTCTGTAAATTTCGTGGATGAATCAAAATGGGCAGTGGAAATATCACTACCCAATTTTGAGTTCTCGCATGCAATCGGCGGAGACTACGAGATAACCAGACGCACAAACATGCAAATACATAAATATAAAATTGTATTGTAAAGAAAATGTCAAAAAAGCACACATTGACATTATTTTTATACCTTTACAACTCCTACAAATTATTATAATAAACATATAACTTAATAATAAAACGCGGCTAATCTTAATGAATAAATCAATGTAACTTATGTTAAAAAGAAAGAACAGTTCTAAACGAATCTTCATTTTACATTTTATAAGTTATCGTAAAACTTACAACGTTAATAACTAGGTTAGCTTAATTTTTGTGATTTTGTTGATTTATTGTCTGTTGAAAAAATCAAATCTTTTTTTCTTACTGTGCTTCCATACATCCACATCTACCAGCAAATGGACAAAATCAGCCCACTGTGATCAAACAAAGGCTGCTTAACCACACGGTCTATTCTCAAGTCTCAACGCTATAAATCTCTACTACGATCCTTTTCTTTTGGATTCATCCCACATTCATCAGATTTACATATATATATAATCGAATATAACAATCTCTCAATACTCAAATGGATTATCGACATATTTCGACATCCATCTTCTTCTTGTTCTTTCTCTCAGTTACTAACAACACACCCTGCAACACACAATTATCTTCTACCTTCAACGATGCTACATGTCCCACTGCACTCCGTACGATCAGAACCACCATCAGAACAGCCATATCTCGTGAACCTCACATGGCGGCTTCCTTCCTTCGCCTCCATTTCCATGACTGTTTTGTTCAAGGTTGCGACACATCAATCTTGTTGGATGGACCTTCGATAGTTGGAGAAAGGAATGTGTTGCCTAATAAGGGTTCTGTAAGAGGCTATGAGGTGATAGACGCTGCAAAATCTGAGGTGGAGAAACTATAAACACTACAAGAATTTCGGGCATTAGCAGCGACAGTCGCCGCAAAAGATAAGGCTTGTCACTGCTAAATGTATTAGCGGCAACATGTCGCTGCAAATACGTCGCCGCCAATGCTTCGTCGATAATACCCTTTTAGTCGCCGCTAATGCTTCACTATTGCCGCTATTGGTTTGTCGCCGCTAATACGTCATTGTCGCTGCAAAAACTCTTTTCATTTTTTTGTTTATTTAATATTAACATTTATAAAATACGTTACAATTTTATGAAATAATAATCCACAATTTTATAAAATCGGTTACACTTAACCCATATACAACCAAAAACAATTCAACATTTATAAAATATTGATCCATAATCCAAAATATTAGTTCATACAACCTAAAGTATTCTTGTAAACAAACATTTCAAAAAATCCTAAAATTCCTACTCCTCGCCACCACTTTCATCAATTTCTTCATTATTTGGTGGTGACAATGAACGAAACCACTCTTTCAATGCCGCAGAGCATACCAAGTCCTTCAGTGTCGTTTGCAACATTTCCAACTATAAAGAAAACAAAATATATTACCAATATATCATAATAGTATTATAATTTTCAAAAATTACCAAAATAAAAAAAATACCAATATATCTATAACCAACATAACATTATAGCATTCTACTTTCAAAATTTTACCAAACTACAAAATATCTACATATCAAACCATAACCAACATATCATTATAGCATTCTACTTTCCAAAAATTACCAAACTACAAAATATCAACATATCAAACCATAACCAACATATCATTATAGCATTCTACTTTTCAAAAATTACCAAATTACAAAATATCAACATATCAAAACATAACCAACATATCATTATAGCATTCTACTTTCCAAAAATTACCAAAGTACAAAATATCAACATATCAAACTATAACCAACAAACCATTATAGCATTGTATCACTTGGCGTTAGACCGCTTGTTGAAGAAGAAGCTTGAGTTTGTTGATTGATCTCCTGAAGTAACACATTTTGTATTTTCAAAAAATGATAAACATCATAAAAATTAGATTACTAAATACCATTGACGATATAAACACTTATATGAAAATACAAATTAACCATTTACTTATTGTTGCTCGACTGTATGACTATAAAATACCCCTTGGCGGTTGGAATTAGCCTTACGAAATGCTTCGATTCGAGTGATATCCTATTTAACATTAAAAATTAGATTAATTATACTTTATATAAACATTTAAATATATCATAACTTACTTCTTTGAAGCATGCATTACTGTACGAGCTTGATCCCCCTCTATTTACAAATAGTTGTTTTGCGCGAACTTCTTTGTTTGACGTCGAACGCATGGGCAATTGAAAATATTTGACTGTCTTCGCCTAATTTTCAGGTGACATTCCCGCGGGGGGGGGGGGGGGGGTGTTGCTTAGTGCCATTGAGATATCTGCAAGCCCCCTAATTTCCTTAAAATAAGAATGAGCTTTACTTTTCGGCCTCTGTAAACTTTTGCAAGACTCGAATCAATGTTCCGCAACAATTATGCACGCTCCGGATCCAAGTTAAACTTATCGAAATCAAACTTATTATACAAATACAAAAAAGTTAGTTAATTAAATAACAATCACAACTACACTTCAAATATTAGCCAAGTTATCTTTAGATGCACAACTGTTGCATTCCTTAACGTAGGGGAAACATTGTCCCAACAGATACGTTGAAAGGGACGTTGTTCCACAAATACCTCCCAATTTCATGTGTCAACCAATTGGTAGGCTTCCTGATAGGGGAATATGTGATCTCCCTGTCGAAATCCAAATCCACAGGCTTTCCCTTGTTTGCCTGTATCCACTTTCCAAGTTCTATGTTCTTTGACAAACCCCTTCTTTTCTTTGGAAGATCGACTAAAAAATACAATTAAAAATATATAATAAACTAATAAAAATAGCTAATAAATATATTATAATAAAACTTACTATCTTGTTCATGCTGCCCGCGACCAAAGCCCCCCGGAGGTGGTGGATCCCCAGCTCCATCACCCCCGTGACCAAGGCCCATAACATCGGACATCATAACAAAGAATATCGCCCATGTAAACCTCATTTGTAACCTGTAAAATTTAAAGATGTACAATACAAAAATACAATATGAATAGAAGTTAGTAATCTTGCAAAATTATAAGATTTACAAAACAATTTATGATTATGAATAATTTTAAAACTAAAATACCACGTTACTGCATATATGTTTAAGTTTATTACAACACAAGTTTATATGTTTAAGTTTATTACAACACAAGTTTTTATTACCTCTGATTCTTTTTATTTCCATAATATCCTAACAATTAGTTTAATTTTTTAAATTAATTTAATTTGATTTTATAATTAATTCAATTTGATTTGAAAATTAACATAATTTAATTTTCTATTTAATTAATATATTGATTATCTTAGCCAACAATTAGTTTAAGTTTATTACAACAACGTTTTCAAATGGAGCAAGAAGAACATGCAATTCTAGTCAACAATGCAAGGCAGGAATTATTAAGCAAATTATATCCACATACAGCCACTAAAGATCAATGCATAAAAACAATTATTATTATTATTTTTTAATTATGCATCTATCTTGCTGGTAGATAATATAGAGATCTAAAAGCATAAACTTCGAGGCCTACATGTGAAGATTAAACTGGATACGAACAACAGAAGCTAGGTATCATAATCATAATTGATTAATTTTAAACTGTTAAGCGGAATTATCATAAAGAGTGCGTGTGTATTTCCTTGCACACTCCAGTATAGTTTTGTCAACAGTGATAAAGTATGCAGCAATGGATGTTCTTTCAACAAAAAACAATCAAATCACATCCACAAGAATTTTCATAAAATCATACTATATCTATCTAAAATCAGTTGAAAAGTTTAAATTTTGGAGCATACCCAGATATAATGAGTGCTTGAGCAATATAATTCAAGTTTGCTTTTGCCCAAGGGATTGTACGCACATCAGGTAACTGCTAGCCAGCAGTAATGGTTGCCAAAAACCTCACATTAAACACTTAAGTTATGTTTGGCGTACTAGCTGAAAAGCTAGCTGATAGCTGAAAAGCTAACTGATAAAAAAAATAATATTTCGTAAAATTAGCTGAAAAGTTAGCTGAAATATATAAAATTACATAAACGGACATGTAATAATATGTGTTTCTATAATTAATTAAGGGGTGTATTTGGAAAATTTTATAAAAGCTCCTAAAAAGCTAGTCTAGGTAGCTTTTCAAAAAGCTAGCTTATAAGCCACTTTTTGGCTTACCAAACACGACAACATAAAAAAGATCAAAAAATAAGCTAACTTATCAGCTAGCTATGGCGCGCTAAACATAGCCTTAAAACCAGTAAGGAAAACACCAAAACAAAATAGAAAATAGGGGAGAAATCAGACCTTAAATTGAACTTATGTCGCTGGAAATGAGTGTATGGTTACCGGAGACAAGTCCTGTGGCCCAAACGAAGTTGTCGGACGAGGAGATGAGGTGCAGTCACCGGTAATCGTTGGGGGAATGAAAGGAGGCAGAACGAACATGAAAGAGACGCAGTGGGGGGGGGGGGGGGGGGGTATCTGCGATGCATATCAGCGGCGCCGCTAGGGTTTTAGCGGCCACAACAGGTTATTAGCAACGACACCCTTTAAGGGAAAATAAAATGCCCTTTTTTCTCATTCCCCGCCGTTGGATGAAAAGCAAATCGAACGGACAGGGTTAATTTGACGCAAATCGACACTGTAGTAGTATTAGCGGTGACGACCGCTATTAGCGGCGACATGTAACACGTCAATTACATGTCGTCACTAATAGCGTCCATCGCCGCTAATGCTCCCCTTTCTTGTATGTCCCGAAGTTGTATCTTGTGCAGACATACTGATAGTGGCCACCCGTGATGCATCAGAAATGGTTGGTGGTTCTTCATGGTCGGTTAAGCTCGGAAGATGAGATTTCAACACCGCTAGCCTTGTTCTAGCGGAGACCAATCTTCCTAGCACACGTAGACGTTGTTGCCCTATAAATGATGGAAACAGAAATTTGAAACCACTAGATATGGTGACATTGAATTCGTTTGATTACAACTACTTCAAGAATCTGATACAAAAGAAGGGTCTTCTTGAATCAGATCAGGTGCTTTATAGTAGTGGGTCCACAGACAGCATTGTTTTGGAATATAGCAACAATCCTTCCAAGTTTAAGTCGGAGTTTGCAAAAGCGATGGTGAAGATGAGTGAGATCAGGCTGTTAACGGGTCAAGAAGGAGTGATAAGGAGGATATGTGGTGCTCTTCACTAAGCTACCTGGTTCATTTAGTCCCCCGTTCTTGTATTTGTCTCTGAAAATTGTACTTGTAGTCATATCTTCATTCATTTATTCTATTCTTTTAAGTGTAAAGAAATATAAAAGTTTATGACTATTCTCAACCGGTTAGATTTAATTATTTATCCCCACTTTTAATGCAATATATAGTTATATGATACTTCTCGGGATCTGCTAGTACAACAAGATCTTAAAGTGGTGAGTAAACTAAACCTGAAAACCGAAAAAATAAAAACCGAAGCACGAAGGTTGGGATTTGTGTTTTTCAAAAATCGAAAATTTTGGTTTAGGTTCGGTTACGTAAATATAAGAAACTGAGAAAACCGCATTGCACCGATGTTTATATATAACACATTATTTTTATGTATTGTATATAAATCAACGTAAATAAATTACAAGTATCAACTTGATAGTGTTGGTAAGTTGTTGGACATTAATTGGTACTAGAGGACTTGTCTCTTAATCTTTCTGATGCCCTTTTCCCTATTTTCATTTTTTTATGACAACCACTAGAGTCGTCCCTTATCGCCTATTACATACAACTTTCACCAACTACAACTTTTATGTAGTACATAAAACTTTCACCAACATACAATTTTTATGTAGTGTTTATATAGTGTTTGAGGAGTCCCACA